GTCCTTTCTGAGAATCTTGTCAATCCTCAACCTAATTCCGCACTCGGGTGGAAACATTTCCCTGCCTACAAGCTGCTCCTTGCATGCTCATGATTAACCTTTCCTACAGCACGGACATAGGTCATTCGGCCCAACTGGCCTGTCCCAGTATTCACACCGCACACTGTCCTTTTCCTGCCCTACCCCAGATTTATTTGTTCCCTTTCCCTCCTGTTGAATACACCATTGAGAAAAGGATTGACAAAGCACAGCAGGAGGCCACTCAGCCCACTCTGACTGCTGGCTCTTTCACGGTGTCGGTTGAGGGAGAAACGTTGGGAAGGACACACAGAAACTTCCTCTTCTGCCTTCACTGCTGCTATCTTTTTCTACTGTCCAACAGAGCAGATGTCGCCTCAGAAACAATTACAGAAGTTGCTGCAAAAGCTCAGCAGGTCTGGCAGCATCTGTGAAGTGATATCAGAGTTAACATTTCGGGTCCGGTGATCCTTCCTTGCCTGTGCTAGCTCCTTACACAATCCTCTTTTGAAAGTCAGTATTAAATCTGCTTGCAACACTGTTTGAAGAAGCATATTCGAGACAACTCATTGCTTTAAAAGACTCTCACCCACCATCTTTGTTTAATTCTTCTGCAGCTTGTGGGTATTTAGTTGTCCATTCCTAATTGCCCCTTGAATGGGGTCAATTTGTTTGGGTTTCAGAGGCCATTCCAGAGTGAACCACATCGCTGTGGGTCTGGAGTCGTATGTAGGCCAGGCAGGGTAAGGGTGGCAGATTCCCTTCCTGAAAGGATGTTAATGAACCAGGTGAGTTTTTAAAGACAATTGATGACAGCTTCATGGTGTTGATTTCTGAGATAAACATTCAATTCCAGAATTATTCTGGGGTAGCACGGTGGCTCACTGGTTAGCACTGCTGCCTCACATCGCCAGGGACCTGGGTCCGAGTCCACCCTCGGGTGACTGTCTGTGTGGAATTTGCACGTTCTCCCTGTGTCTGTGTGCGTTTCCTCCGGGTGCTCCGGTTTCCTCCCACAGTCCAAAGATGTGCAGGTTAGGTGGATTGGCCATGCTAAATTACCCGTAGTGTTCAGGGATGTGTAGATTAGGGGGATGGGTCTGGGTGGGATGCTCTGAGGGTCAGTGTGGACTGATTGGGCTGAAGGGCCTGTTTCCACACTGTAGGGATTCTATGATTATTAATTGAATCTGAGTTCCACCAGCTGTTGTGGTGCAACGTGAACCCGGGGAAGGGAAAATAGTGAGCTGCCATTATTTTAAATTTGCTCTGGTTACAGCTGCCCTTCAATTACACCATTTGGCTGCTCACCCCTTCGTCTTCTAGCAGCACAGGAGCAGGAGTAGGCCATTCAGCCCCTTGAGCCTGCTCCACATTCAAATGAGATATTTGGTTAACATGTGTCCTAACTCTATCTACCTGCCTTGGGCCCATAACCCTTAATATCCTTGCTTAATAAAAACCTGTCTATCTCAGATTTAAATTTAACAACTGAATTAACATTGACTGTCATCTGAGGAAGAGAGTTCCAAACATCCACTACTCTGTGTGTAGAAGTGCTTCCTAATATCTCTCCTGAGTGGTCTGGCCCTAACTCTTAGACTATAGTGTCTGGTTCTAGAATCCTCAACGAGTGGAAATAGTTTTTCTTTAACTACCCTGTTAATATCCTGAAAACCTCGATTAGATCTTCCCTTAATAGTCTAAATTCTAGAGCATAAAGGGTAATTTGTCTGATCTCTCCTCATACCTTAACCCCTGAAGCCCAGGTATCTTTCTTGTAAACCCATGCTGTACTCCTTCCAAAGCCAATTATTCTTCCGCAGGTGTGGTGCCCAGATCTGCTCTGAGTAAATTAAGTGGGATCTGACCAGGGTTTTGTTTAACTGCGGCACTTTCACAACGATGCAAAAATTGTATTTATATAGGACCCTTAACATAAAATGCCTGAAGAGCTTTCACAAGAGGATTTAAAATCAAAATCTAACACTGAGCCAGCCCCGAGAATTTGTGGTCAGATGTCTTAAACGAAGCAAGACAGGTGGAGAGAGACAAAGGGAGGGAATTGCAGAGCTTAGGGTTTGACTGCAGAAGGCAGGGTCATCAATGGTGAAGCGATTAAAATCAGTTATGTCCAAGAGGGCAGGTTAAGACCAACACAGTATCTGGAGGGCTGTGGGGCTGACAGAGGTGGGGAGCAATAAGGCTAGGGTATTTGAACACAAGGATGAGGATTTTAAAATCGAGGCATTAGGTACAATTGTACAGGGCCTTGGTGAAACCACGTGAGAGTACAGTGTATAGTTTCAGTTTCCTTATCTAAGGAAGGATGTTCTGGCTACAGAGGGAGAGCAACAAAGGTTTGGAAGACTATATTCACTGGAGTTTAGAAGATCGAGTTGGGGTGGAATCTCATAGAAACCTATAAACGTCTGACAGGGTGACACAGGAAGGATGTTCCCAATGACAGAACCAGGGGTCACAGTCTAAGGATACAGGGTAGGCCACTTAGGACTGAAATGAGGAGAAATGTTTTCACCCGGAGAGTGGGGAACCTGTGGAGTTCACTTCCACAGAAAGCAGCTGAGGTCAAAACATTGAATATTTTTTTCCAGAAGGAATTAGACATAATTCTTAGGGCTAAAGGGATCAAAGGGTATGGGAGGAGAAAGCAGGAACAGGGGACCGAGTTGAATGATCAGCCATGATTGTATTGAATGGTGGAACAGGCTCGAAGGGCCGAATGGCCTACAGCTGCTCCTTTCTTCTGTGTTTTAAAATGACTTCCAATCAGGAGTCAACGTAGTCAGCAATAATGGGTGATGGGGAAACGGGACTTCATTTGAGTAAGGACCTGGACAACAGAGTGGCAGAGGTTACAGAGGGCAGAAAACGGGAGAGCAGCCTGGAGTGAGTTGGAATAGTTCAGTTGAGAGTTAACAAAATCACGAATGAAGGTTTCAGCAGCTGAGTTTGAGGAGAGGGTGGGGAGTCAGGCAACATATAGGAGTACAGTCACAGTCAATGCAACCTTCCCTGATGATTTAATCTTTTTAGCCTTGGGGTCATTCTGATAAATGTGACTGGACGCACTCTCCAGTATTCTCCCTGACGTGTGATGCCCAGAACTGAATGGAATTCTTCAGACGGAGTTTAATCAACAGTGGGTACAGTTTTCTATAAACCACAGCACTCAGATACTCTGCCTCTCTGTGGCCCCCTAATGCACAATCCTGCTTTTTAAACGCCACTGCGGTTTGAGAGAAGCTCAGGTCTGTTTCTTGGCGTGACCACTTACCTCCTGTTTTCACAGAATTCTCCTCACACTTCTATTAAGGCAGCTTGTGTTGAAAGTGCTTACTCTCACTGAGATTGCTGACCTGTGTCTGTGCCTCACTACACGTTTCATGCAGACCTGACTGTATCCAGCAGTTCAGAGGCAGAGTGTTCAAATCCCACCATCACAAACTGCAAACTCAGGCATTTGGACATTACGCCACGGAAGGACTGAATGGCCTACTCCTGTTCCTATGATTGTGCAAGATGCACTGCAGAAATTCACCAAGGCTCCTCTTACAGCACTTTACAAACCCATGAACCACTTCCATGTGGAATGACAATGGAAGCAGATACATGGGAGACACCACCTGCTGTATGTTCCCCTCCAAGCCACTCACATCACAATGTGAGTTTTGTGTGTATGTATTATCTCCACTAACCTCAAATAATATCTGGAAAAACAGGCAGAGACGGTAATGCTCACATTGCTGTTTGTGGGAGCTTGTTTCTTTTTAATTCATTCTTGAGATGAGGGCGTCAGAGGGCAGTTCAGAGTCAACCACATTGCTGTGGGTCTGGAGTCACATGTAGGCCAGACCAGATAAGGGTGGCAGTTCCCTTCCCTAAAGAGCATTAGGGTTTCATCCAACAATCAGCCATAGTATCATGGTCAACATTGAACTCTTACTTCCAGATTTTTTTTGGATTCGAATTCCACCATCTGCAGTGGCAGGATTCGAACCCAGGTCTTCAGAACTTTAGCAGAGTTTTTGGATTAATAGGTCCAGTGATAATACCACAAGGCCATCACCTCCCTAGCTGCATCCAGCTAGATACACTGCTTCATTTCCTATCACAGGGACTGCAGTTCAAAAGTGTTGGCTGTAATCCCTGAGGGAGTGAAGGCGCTATGGAAATGAAGAGTTATTTCCTCCCTGAGTCTCCAAGCCTTGGGCTTGTTTTCTCTGTCTGTCTCTGAGTGTACCATTCACTCACCAATGCTGCCACTCTTTCTCTGTCTCTCACCCTCTCTCTATCTGCAACTATCTCCAGCAACCCACTCCCCGCCCCTCCCTGGATCCCCCTCTCTCTGTATCTGGGTTCTCCATCTCCCTCCTGTTTTTACCGTGACCCTGCCACACCACATCACATGGAACCCTCTCTCCACCTCTGGGTCTCTGGTTTCTTTCTTTTTTCTTCTGTCTCCCCCCCCTCCCCCCCCTCCTGTTTCCCTCTCTCCCCCCCATCCCCGTGTCTGTCTCTCTTCTCTCTCTGTCCGTCTTCCCCCAACCACAGTGTCTCGTCTCCCTCTTTCTCTCTGCCTTGTTCCCCCTCCCTCTGTTTCTGTCTCCCTTTCTCTTACTCTCTGTGTCTGTCTCTCCAGAAGATCAGACTTTGTTTGAAGCAGACATTGATGGGATCTCTCGCTGCTCTTTAGTTGAACAGTGTCTCAATCTGAGTTTGATTCTACTTCACCAATCTCTCAAGTAAAGCACCGTTCGTTGCCCTAATGTTTGGAAATACTGACAATGCTATGTCTTGTGGAGAGGCATGGATTAAAATCCACTGCAATTTAAACTTCACTGGCATTCCAGCCTGAGAACAGGAAAACACTCCTTAAAAGGGAAAACGATTAAATCACTTTTTACCCCTGACATGCTGAAGTTTTCGAAGTGGAGTAAATACTTGTGTTAATATCTTACCTGATTCGAGGAACTTTTCCAAACTTTCTTCTCGAGCCCCAGCCTGCTCGGTCTCTCTCTCTCTCTCTGTCTCTGTCAGGATTTGCACATTTTTCCCTCAGTTCAGTTTGATTGATGACAGAACTCAGGGCAGAGCAAGCACAAGTGGGCGGCTCAGAGCCTGAGGGGGAAGAGAAGGGAACAATTCAAAATCCGGCAGCGTTTGGGTTTTTCTTGATTCTACGTCGCTGGTGCTGCAGGTTTAGAATAAAGCTAAAGCTACACCCCCACCTCAAAAAACTCCCCCACAGCCCACAGTCAGGGGCAGAACAGATGGAGGAGGGCTCATCTGGGACAGCATGGTGTGATTTAAGGAGTACAGGACTGGTAAGGTAGGTGGGGAAAGTGTTTCTATTCTCAGCAGAGTCAGTAACAAGAGGACACAGATTTAAAATCACAGAGGAGAAATGTTTTTAAACAAAGCTGTAATGTATAACACGCTGTCCGATGGGTGGGACCCTTCCAACTGATTAAAAAGCAGGGATGAGGAACCTCACTGATGAGGACAGATTGAAGAATTTAGGTCTGTTTTTCTTGGTCAGGAGAACATCGAGCGGAGATCTAATTGAGATTTTCAGGATCATGAGTGAGCTGGATACTGTAGACAGGGAGAAGCTGTTCCTGCTCGTAAAATTAACAAAAAAACAAGGTGACATAGATTTAAGATGCAAATGTGATGGGAGAGAAACATATTTTCACACAGGAAGCTGTAAAGTCTGTGGGATACAGTTAGCTCAGCCCACTGGATGGCTGGTTTGTCACGCACTGATACCAACAGCGTGCCTTCCATTGCTGCATTTGCCAAGCACCCACCTTCTCAGCCTTGCCTTCACCTGAAACCAGGGGGCCCTTAGATGAAAGTCACCATCAGTCATCTCTCCAAGTGAGGGGGGTGGTTTCTTTATATTCATTCATGGGATGAGGGCCTCACTGGCCAGGCAGCATTTATTGCCCATCCTTAATTGCCCAGAGGGCAGTTCAAAGTCCACCACATTGCTGTGGGTCTGGAGTCACATGTAGGCCAGACCAGGTAAGGATGGCAGTTTCCTTCCCTAAAGGGCATTAGGGAACCAGATGGGTTTTTCCTGACAATTGAGAGGAGTTACAGGGAGGTAGTCACACCTCAGGTACAGGAAAAAGGTAGATAGGTTACAGTCAGGGGACGGAAAGGGAACAGGCAGACAGTGCAGGGATCCCCTGTGGCCGTTCCCCTCAATAACAAGTATACCGTTTTGGATACTGTTGGGGGGGGGGGACTTACCAGGGGTAAGCCATGGGGTACAGGTCTCTGGCATGGAGTCTGTCCCTGTTGCTCAGAAGGGAAGGGGGGAGAGGAGGAAAGCATTAGTCATTGGGGACTCCATAGTTAGGGGGACAGATAGGAGATTCTGTGGGAACGAGAGACTTGCGGTTTGTGTGTTGCCTCCCAGGTGCCAGGGTCCTTGATGTCTCGGATCGTGTTTTCGGGATCCTTAAGGGAGAGGGGGAGCAGCCCCAAGTCGTGGTCCACATAGGCACCAACGACATAGGTAGGAAAAGGGATGGGGATGTAAGGCAGAAATTCAAGGAGCTAGGGTGGAAGCTTAGAGCTAGAACAAACAGAGTTGTTATCTCTGGTTTGTTACCCGTGCCACGTGCTAGCGAGGCGAGGAATAGGGAGAGAGAGCAGTTGAACACGTGGTTACAGGGATGGTGCAGGAGGGAGGGATTCAGATACCTGGATAATTGGGGCTCATTCTGGGGGAGGTGGGACCTCTACAAAGGGGATGGTCTACACCTGAACCAGAGAGGTACCAATATCCTGGGGGGGAAATTTGCTAATGCTCTTCGGGAGGGTTTAAACTAATTCAGCAGGGGGATGGGAACCTGAATTGCAGCTCCAGTGTACAGGAGGTTGAGAGTACTGAGGTCATGAATAAGGTTTCAAGGTCGCAGGAGTGTACCGGCAGGCAGGAAGGTGGTTTGAAGTGTGTCTACTTCAATGCCAGGAGCATCCGGAATAAGGTGGGTGAACTTGCAGCATGGGTTGGTACCAGGGACTTTGATGTTGTGGCCGTTTTGGAGACATGGAAAGAGCAGGGACAGGAATGGTTGTTGCAGGTTCCGGGGTTTAGATGTTTCAGTAAGATCAGGGAAGGTGGTAAAAGAGGGGGAGGTGTGGCATTGTTAGTCAAGGACAGTATTACAGTGGCAGAAAGGACGTTTAATGATGACTCGTCTACTGAGGTAGTATGGGCTGAGGTTAGAACCAGGAAAGGAGAGGTCACCCTGTTGGGAGTTTTCTATAGGCCTCCGAAAAGTTCCAGAGATGTAGAGGAAAGGATTGCAAAGATGATTCTGGATAGGAGCGAAAGTAACAGCGTAGTTGTTATGGGGGACTTTAACTTTCCAAATATTGACTGGAAACGCTATAGTTCGAGTACTTCAGATGGGTCAGTTTTTGTCCAATGTGTGTCAGGAAACCCTCCTGCACAGTATGTAGATAGGCCAACAAGAGGTGAGGCCACTTTGGATTTGGTACTGGGTAATGAACCAGGCCAGGTGTTAGATTTGGAGGTAGGTGAGCACTTTGGTGATAGTGACCACAATTCGGTTACGTTGCGATGGAAAGGGATCGGTATATACCGCAGGGCAAGAGTTATAGCTGGGGGAAAGGCAATTATGAGGCAAGATTTAGGATGCATAGGATGGAGAAGGAAACTGCAGGGGCTGGGCACAATTGAAATGTGGAGCTTGTTCAAGGAACAGCTACTGCGTGTCCTTGAGAAGTATGTACCTGTCAGGCAGGGAGGAAGTGGTCGAGCGAGGGAACCGTGGCTTACTAAAGAAGTTGAATCTCTTGTCAAGAGGAAGAAGGAGGCTTATGTAAAGATGAGGCGTGAAGGCTCAGTGAGGGCGCTTGAGAGTTACAAGTTAGCCAGGAAGGACCTAAAGAGAGAGCTAAGAAGAGCCAGGAGGGGACATGAGAAGTCTTTAGCAGGTAGGATCAAGGAAAACCCTAAAGCTTTCTATAGGTATGTCAGGAATAAAAGAATGACTAGAGTAAGATTGGGGCCGGTCAAGGACAGTAGTGGGAATTTGTGCGTGGAGTCCGAAGAGATAGGAGAGGTGCTAAATGAATATTTTTCGTCAGTATTCACACAGGAAAAAGACAATGTAGTCGAGGAGAATACTGAGATACAGTCTATTAGACTAGACGGGATTGAGGTTCATAAGGAGGAGGTGTTAGCAATTCTGGAAGGTGTGAAAATAGATAAGTCCCCTGGGCCGGATGGGATTTATCCTAGGATTCTCTGGGAAGCTAGAGAGGAGATTGCAGAGCCTTTGGCTTTGATCTTTATGTCGTCATTGTCTTCAGGAATAGTGCCAGAAGACTGGAGACTAGCAAATGTTGTCCCCTTGTTCAAGAAGGGGAGTAGAGACAACCCTGGTAATTATAGACCAGTGAGCCTTACTTCGGTTGTGGGTAAAGTGTTGGAAAGGATTATAAGAGATAGGATTTATAATCATCTGGAAAGGAATAATTTGATGAGGGATAGTCAACACGGTTTTGTGAAGGGTAGGTCGTGCCTCACAAACCTTATTGAGTTCTTTGAGAAGGTGACCAAACAGGTGGATGAGGGTAAAGCGGTTGATGTGGTGTATATGGATTTCAGTAAAGCGTTTGATAAGGTTCCCCATGGTAGGCTATTGCAGAAAATACGGAGGCATGGGATTGAGGGTGATTTAGCGGTTTGGATCAGAAATTGGCTAGCTGGAAGAAGACAGAGGGTGGTGGTTGATGGGAAATGTTCATCCTGGAGTTCAGTTACTAGTGGTGTACCTCAAGGATCTGTTTTGGGGCCACTGCTGTTTGTCATTTTTATAAATGACCTGGATGAGGGCGTAGAAGGATGGGTTAGTAAATTTGCAGATGACACTAAAGTCGGTGGAGTTGTGGATAGTGTGGAAGGATGTTGCAGGTTACAGAGGGACATAGATAAGCTGCAGAGCTGGGCTGAGAGGTGGCAAATGGAGTTTAATGCGAAAAAGTGTGAGGTGATTCACTGTGGAAGGAGTAACAGGAATACAGAGTACTGGGCTAATGGTAAGATTTTTGGTAGCGTGGATGAGCAGAGAGATCTCGGTGTCCATGTACATCGATCCCTGAAAGTTGCCACCCAGGTTGATAGGGTTGTTAAGAAGGCGTACAGTATGTTAGGTTTTATTGGTAGAGGGATTGAGTTTTGGAGGCATGAGGTCATGTTGCAGCTGTACAAAACCCTGGTGCGGCCGCACTTGGAGTATTGCGTACAGTTCTGGTTGCCGCATTATAGGAAGGATGTGGAAGCATTGGAAAGGATGCAGAGGAGATTTACCAGGATGTTGCCTGGTATGGAGGGAAGGTCTTATGAGGAAAGGCTGAGGGACTTGAGGCTGTTTTCTTTAGAGAGAAGAAGGTTAAGAGGTGACTTAATAGAGACATACAAGATGATCAGGTAGGGTGGGCAGCGAGAGCCTTTTTCCTTGGATGGTGATGGCTAGCACGAGGGGACATAGCTTTAAATTGAGGGGTGATAGATATAGGACAGATGTCAGAGGTAGGTTCTTTACTCAGAGAGTAGTAAGGGCGTGGAATGCCCTGCCTGCAAAAATAGTAGACTCGCCAACTTTAAGGGCATTTAAATGGTCATTGGATCAACATATGGATGATAATGGCTTCAGATTGGTTTCACAGGTCGGCGCAACATCGAGGGCCGAAGGGCCTGTACTGTTTAATGTTCTATGTTCTATAATTAACAATGGATTCACAGTCACCCTTAGACGCTTAATTCCAGATATTTACTGAATTTGAATTCCACCATCTGTCGTGGTGGGATTTGAACTCTAGTCCCCAGAGCATTACCTGGGTCTCTGGATTAATAGTCCAGCGATAATACCACTAGGCCATCGCCTCCCCTGAAGACCCTAGCTAAAGTTAAGTGATGCCCTGGATCCCTCTGGGCCTATGGTGATTATCACTGTTAAGGTCAGAAATGCACTTCCTGGTAAATGTGGTGGAGGCTACTTCAATTGATGCATTGGATGATAATTTAAATCAAAACGATGTGCAGGATTACATTAAAAAAATAGGAGATTGGCCCTGAACCAAAATACACAGTGACAGTACAGAGACAGTGGGCTGAATGGCCTACTTCTGCATAGTAACAATTCCGTAAACACATTGAAAGGATG